AGACACACCTGTCAGACATCATACAGGGGTACTTAGTCACAGACAAGCCTGTCACACAGCATACAGGGGTAAGTCACATACACACCTATCACACAGCAAATGACCTTTACTTCATTCAGAGTGACAGGGATATGTTAAATTATTGTAACTTGTAGGTACATTGTTTATATTTCTTTGTTACCATTGGTGACCTGTAGGTATGGTTCAGTATGATGCGGATGAGAAGCGAATGATCAGTGCTATGTGGGCAAAGGATGAAGACATCAGCAGGTTTCTCAGGTAAAGTCAGCTGGTTACAATAGGGTAATATGATTATAACAATATCCGACAAGTTATAATCCTAGATTTACAGAATGTCATTCTGTCAGTTTATCTGTAATTAATTGCTTTCTGAATAAAGATGTGAAAAGTTACTAGATTTGGTGAATATGTTTATTAAATAGCAATAACCAACTAATAGATTTATATGCAATACTTGAAACTTTTGCATATTTAACAATTATCCTAAACTCTTTCAAAATCTTTACTTACCAAATTTTATGAATTTATTTAAGGATGGGAAGTGTCATAGTAAATACCTATTCATATAAGTTCTTCTCACTTCTTTTCATAATTGATCATCTGTCAATTTGTATTTCTGAACATTATTTTTAAATGTCATAGTTTCAATTACACTAATGTTTAACAAGAGAACATGTGTGCTCTATCCACTAGACAAGACATGTAATATACGGAATATTAGATGAAACTTACTGTAACTGCTCTAGATATTCTTTAAATATTCTACTTTAATTTGTATGTTATTCTGTGTTTGTGTGGATAATACAAACGTGTACAATGTTGAATTTATGGTTTTGACATTACAACTGTAGATTGTGTTATTTATATAAAGTTCATCATGTTGATTTTCCAAATCCAGTTGACTAAGAAAATACCCCTGTAACAGAAATAAGCCTGTATATGTTTATATATAAAGTGATATTGTCTGTTCATTCTCTGTGGTTATTTCTGTTTTCACAGGTCCTTGCCAAGTTGGCAGGTTCTGCAGCCAATGGAGGGCCAGGACATGAACCAGGCGATGTGTTCAGAGGAGGAGATGAGGACCCTGAACTCTAAGGAGGTGAACATCCTCATTAGTAACCTGTCTTCATCAGACTCTATGATCCCTCAGCAGGAGATCATCACAGACGCCACACAGATGAGGACCATTGCTAACTACCATCAGAGTCTCGTATGTAAAACTCCACTTGTTAATCATATATACTAGCTGATTTTATGTTTTCCAGGCAAGAATTGTGAAATGTTCCATCTTAACCATCGTTATTATCCGCCCTGTCCTCTTTTGTCCCCTCCCGACTAGGTGACATCGCACTTAAAATTT